AACCGCCTGCGTCAATGAATTACACAGCAGGTTGCTCGTGATGATAATGATGTGAGAATAAATTCAATTCTGAGTACCGTCAAATCATGGCTCCTATGCTTGGACGACGTAGCTGATACACGGCTGGTGTGCTATCTGCAGTTTGTGCATGACAAGCTGACAAGCTGGATAGACTTAACCTCACACCTGGCCATACTGGTGCATTGACAATCTGACTAGGGTCTTCTAAGTTCTTCTCATCATCCATTAGCACTCACTGCTCGGACCTGGAGCCATTGATCTGTGCCCAGCAATCTTGTGGCAAGAACACAGTCGCGCTCATTGTGGACGGTGGTCCACACATAACGTTATTGCTCTCGCTTTCATTGTTAAAATTCACACTTGTAAATTTCACTGCTGTTGTTCTTAGTGTTATTTCTCTAACTTAGATTTTCTATAATAGTTCAATTTTGTTTTCAGTGTCCTTTAGTACAACGAAGATTCCTGATGAGTGTTGTACGAAAACTTGTTTGAATCCCTTTTTTCTCTACACAATTTCTTCAAATTTTCATCGTTTTATTGCACATTGTCTCCACAGTTTTACAATACATGAATACAATATACACAAATGTCGATCCAGCTTGTACTACTGATTGCGGTTATCAAATTGTTGTCTCCTCGCCGTTTGTTCAATTATTATTATTATTAACTTTTATTTTACCATGCCTGCCCAATGTGATGCACATGTATCTGGTACGATGCTACCACTGGCACGAATGATGTAATCATGTCCATGCCTGCACAATGTGATGCACATGTATCTGGTATCCCGGCAACAGCTACAGGGGTCGCAGGGCCAGCAGTGCGCGCCCTCGACCGGAACAACGTACTAGCAGAGCAGCGCAAGCAGCAACAAACAGGTGCCGGTGTTGGCGTGAGTAGAGATTTGCGTCTGACTGTGAGCAGTAGTGACACCGGTACCAATCCTCGACAGTCGTCAGTCTCGTCACCGTACGACGTCGGACGTCAACAGATTACGCAGAACACAACGAGTACGAGTACACCAGCCTTGAGTGCCGGTTACACCAACACAACACGAACTAACGACAATCGCACATTCACGATCACAGCTGCAACACCAACGCTGCAATACGGAACAACACCGACACCAACGGAACAACACCGCCTTAGTTCAGCCCGTACACTAACTGCGAGTGGTTTGTCGTCGAGAGTGAACATGACGAAATTTGCTCAGGGTGTCGGGACCGCGACTGACCCAACGTCCGCTTATGGTGGTCCAGTACCATGAGCCTCAGCCTCGTTTGGAGATCATTCCTACCTGTCCCTGTTTGAGGCCTCTGTCCCTGTTTGAGGCCTCTGTCCCTGTTTGAGGCCTCTGTCCCTGTTTGAGGCCTCTGTCCCTGTTTGAGGCCTCTGTCCCTGTTTGAGGCCTCTGTCCCTGTTTGAGACCTCTACGAGTACTATACCCTACCGTAGCTGATTGCCACTCGGAGTGCCGCAAGCGGTCCAAACCCCGCAATGGACGCGGCCAGATACGGCAGCCACCCAGTGGCCGCCGCCATCTAGTGCAACGCCTAATTTAGCTGGTTCAACACAGTGGTCACCAACCCATACCAGCAGCGATATCAGTCAACGTCGCTTTTGGCGGATCGTCTGCATACAATGGTAGCGCACTGCACAAACAGTCAGTATTAGCACTCAATTATGGCCCTTATGGCGGAACCCCAAATGGGTATGGATCGACTGCAACAGTACCAGGACTGACACCTGGTCCTTCGCATGCACCGCAAGGCCATGCACCAACAGATTTTTGTCGCCATTTTTAAAAGAAAGATCAAAATACCCACCTTTGACTGCGACAAGAAGCTGTATGACACATGGCGTGCGTCTTTCGACGTCTGCCTCGACCGGCAACCACTGTCACCGGAGCTCAAGCTATTGCAGCTCAGGCAATATCTGTCCAGTCCACCGCTGAAGACTGTCGAAACGCATGGTTACTCGGCAGCGGCCTACGCGGCAGCACTCCAGCAACTGGACCAAAAGTAAGGTGGTGAGAAGCGCAAAACAGCCGTCCACATGTCCGCACTCCAGGACATGCCAGCAATCCGAGAGCGTGGCACAGCCAGGCATCTCGAACGGTTCGCAGATCTTGTGCAAGTCGCAAAGATCAACTTGATTGATGCTGGCCATCAGAATGAGCTAGCGTACGGTACATTCTGCACGCAGCTGCAGCAGAAGCTGAGCCAAGATTTGTTAGCGACTTACCACTGGTGGCGTTGCGATAACAATGTTGTCGAGTCGGTCGACTCGCTGCTGCAGTGGTTAGTGCGGGAGGCGGATTTCCGCGCATAGCGTAGCAGCCACACGTCTGATGAGCAAGCCTGCCAAGTCAGACATTTCCACAGCAGCAGCTCTTACCATCATCTCATCGAGCGTAGAATGTGTGTTTTGCGGCAGCTGACATGAGTCTTCGCAATATTCGTCCATTACAGACATCAAGCGCCGCAAGGAGCTGATACACAAGAATGGTCGTTGCTTAATCTGCCTGAAGAAGAAACAAATGGCTCGTGGCTCCAAGTCCAATATTAGATGTAGCAAATGTGAGCACCGACATCATACATCCATTTGCGAACCCAAGCCATCAGAGCAGCCTGGGACTGGCACGAAGCCATCATCTCCGCCATCTAAACCAGGCGGAAGCGGAAAATGGTCGAAATCAGTGTCTTCGTCAACAACCACAGCTACTGTCAGCGACAGCGGAGCCGTATTTCTACAAACTGCACAGACCTCGGTGGTCTCGCCTCAACGTTCAGATCTAAACGTGCCTGTACGAGTAATGCTAGACGGTGGGAGCCAACGCTCGTACGCTACATCATCGGTACTGACTCAGCTGGGTGTGCGCCATTCCGGTCAAGAACGTGTGGTGACAAACCCGTTTGCCTTTGTAAACGTGCAGAAAGTTTAACGATGGCTACATGGCCACCCATCTGTATGCGAATCTTTACACAGCCATCTTGAACCGGGTTCGCGATAGCGTTTCTTCAAATAACGAAAAAAATTGTTCGTTAAAACGTTAGACTTTCCGGTTTTACAGTAGTATAATTACCTTTTTGTTTTGCTCTTTTCCCCTTTCTTCCACTTTTATTTGTCCATGTAAGATTAGTTTCAAGTAGTCCCCACTCCATTGTTACGTGGATTCACTGATGAATGTGACAAGAAAACTGTTCCGAACAAATCCTCTGTTTCCCTTTCGTTGTGTGCCTTGCGATCATCGTACAACATTTTACACATGCATGTCGACATTATAGAAAATGCTTACAATTAGTCCTCCTTCTAGCTATAAGTATCTATTATTGCACGATTAAAGACGTCAATATATGAAATAATTATAGAACGAGTAAAAGACCGAGGTCCCTCGAGGTCTTTTACGAGGTCTATATTTCATATGTTGACCGATTATGAGCGCAATAATAGATTTATCACGACATAGCATCCCTAAACTGTTTTAGCTTTGTTTATAAGAAGAAAGGAAAACTGTGGTAAATGTACATGTGCCGTTTACAGTGGAGATTACTTCTCTGTAAACAGAAGTTTTCCCTTGTCACTTGAAGCAGGTTCCCTAAGTTCTTTGACTGAGAATCTGACAGTTTGGGTTCAAGTCCCAGCATTTGGCTTCAGATTTTCTTCTTTTATTTCAGATTTTTTTCTTTAAGTTGAGGAATAAGTTAAGTTCTAAAGCTGTGTTCACAACTGGCGGGTGTACGCGTGAAACCACGCGTTTGTGCGTATTTTTGCTGGCTTTTGGGGCGCCATGCGTACGGAAACGCGCCGAAATGGAAATTCCAACATGTTGGAATTTCAGCGCGTATCAGCCGCGTACCAGCGTACATGCCAGTCACTTTGACTGGCGGGGTCAAAAATTAGTACTCGAAGGTGTCGCACGTGCTGAATACGACTCGGATTGCTGCTTTTTGTGAAAGCTTGAGCGCGCGTATATGCACGCACGAACCGCAAGCGTACCGCGTCCACGCGCCAGTTGTGAACACAGCTTAAGTCCTCGGGCTAACAAGTGGTCAATATACATGTATGCTGATATTTGACCGCTGTGGGGTCTGTGGGGTTTCTGTGGGGTCAATAATAAGAGAGTGATAAGTATGATTTACTGCACGAGTACAAGCGAGTACAAGGGCAATACCGGCTAATACATGACCGAACGGCTGACTGACGCCGTGAGATCATGTATCAAGACGGTATTGCCCTCGTACGAGTGAGTACGAGGCGCAGTAAATCATTTATTGCATGCTTGACTCCAACATTCTAGAAAACGAAGTCTGTGGTTTAGGATTACTTTATTCCTTTACGACATTGATAGTGATGTTGGTGGCACCTGCAGATCCTTCGGGGCATCTTCGAACAAATTCGGATGGAGATCGAGGATTGCTTGGAACTCGGCTTCCGCAGCAATTGAAGGTAAGGTTGATTCGGCCATATTTGGAAGACATTACACAAACTTGATACGCCTACAAACTACAAAGTACAATAATGACAGTGGGCATGCGTGTACATGTAACTGAGTGGGCAATAACTTGCCGGGCAATACCGAGGAATACAGACCGCTGAGCAAGAGCGCTCATTGGCTGTAGTACAGGCAACCCTCACATGACATGCAATAAATAAAAATACAGCAAGGTTACCGGGTTTTGAACAGTCAGACGTGCACAAGGTAGCACCAGATTGACAAGCAGTGTTGAGACATTCCACGGCAAGGAAATGAGCTTGAGCACTGCTCGATAGCTCTAACCAACGTCCTTCGTACTTGGAAGGTTCAGCGGCCTGGAAGGTTCGGGGAATTATCACTAATATCCATGAACCTTCCAAGTTGGAATGTCATTGATTAGCGCTATCGAGCAGCGCTCAAGCTCACTTCCTTGCTCGTTGTGTTGTCAAATACGTATAAATCTAGCTAGAAACTAGAAACTGGCTGATGAAACAACACTCACATGGTGGCAATGTCCATACAGGCGGTGACGGTTTTGTGCGTTTCGTTTGACACACAGGTGCAGGGTACACAGCCTCCAGTGTCGCTCGCTTCACACAATGTACTCAGCAAAGCCAATATGAGTAGGGTCGGGACGGCTGAAGCCTACAGCAAAGTCAAAAGTTGGAAAACATGCCAAAAGAGAAAAGAGGAACACCGTTGGGTCAGAACATGTCAATTGGGTAGCTATTGCTCGGACTGATCCAGACCTGTCATGCACTGGCATCTCCGAGAGAATCCTGGAGGGTATGAAGAGATTCATTCCTTTTAAAATTCAGAAAACCCGTGCATCAGATCCTTCATGGTGGACCCCTGGGTGCCCTGCTCCCACAGTGAGGAAACGACGTGCATGGAGGTGCCTGAAAGACGACCCGGCTGACAACGATCGGCAGTCAGCTTACCAAGATGCCCGGCTCTCAACGATTGCCTGTCTCAAAACTGCCAAGAGTGCTTTCAAGGCAAAACTGAGACAGAAAATGACCTCAAAGCAGCTGCCACCCAGTGACTGGTGGCGCACTGTCAAGCATGCCTCTGGCAATGGGCGTAGTCAATCTGTTCCGACATTACGTGATCCCGATGGACGGGAGGACACAGCCAGCGGAGACAAGGCAGAATGCATGCTGTGTGAATGTGTGTGTGTGTTTATGTGTTTGTGTGTGTGTTTGTGTGTGTGTGTGTGTGTGTGTGTGCGCGCGCGCGCGCGCGGGGGGCGCACGCATGTGCGTGTGTGTGCGCGGGGGGGGGGGGGGGGTATGTGTCTGGGTATGTGTCTGGGTGTGTGTGTGGGGGGGGGGGGGGGAGTAGGTGGGGGAATGTGTGTATGTACATGTATGCATGTGTGTGTGTGTGTGTGTGTGTTTGTGTGTGTGTGTGTGTGTGTGTGTGTGTGTGTGTGTGTGTGTGAGTGGGTGTGTGTGAGCGTGTGTGTATGTGTGTGTGTGTGTGAGTGTGTGTGTGTGTGTGTGTGTTTGTGTGTGTGTGTTTGTGTGTGTGTGTGCAAGGCTTCGATTTCTCTCTCTTCTCTTCTCTCTTCCTGTCGGTGTCTCCCGCTTCTGGGCCGGCATGGCCCATTTTTCATGCATGTGTGTTCCTGTTGTTATGATAATATGTAAGCACAAGTACGTGTCGACTCTGTCCTGCCGCTACTCGGGCTTTGGCCGTGACCACGATATTTCTCCCCATTGTCTCCTTTATCGTTTCTTTTCTCTTTTTGCTAAGAGCTTTCTTCTTGCCGTGACCACGATTTATCACTTCTTTTTTCTTCTTTTTCTCCTTTATTTCTTTTCGGATGGAGAGCCAAGGATTATTCATAAAAAGTACAACGGACTAAGAAACTACAAGTTACACTATAATGTCCATTAACACCACCAGTTACTAAACAATCAGCTCATGCGATAACATTGCACAACCCTGTCCGACGGTACTGACGTTCTACAACTAACTGGCTAAAAGCTCTAGCACATCTTGGATGCGCACTCCAACAGCCTTCCAACTATGCTATTTCTATAACTTAGAACCTTCCAAGTTGGAGGGCTGTTGGAGTGCGCATCCAAGATGTGCTAGAGCTGTTAGCCAGTTATTTGTAGAACGTCAGTACCGTCGGTCAGTGTCGTGCAATGTTATCGCATGAGCTGATTGTTTAGTAACTGGTGGTGTTAATGGACATTATAGTGTAACTTGTAGTTCCTTTTTTCTTTTTCTTTTGCTGAGAACTTTCTTTTCCCACATTTTCTTTTCATCTGTGTCTCCTTGCCGAGTTTTCCCATTCCTGGGTTACTTGGACCTCATTCGCTTTCTTGTCATTGGACACGTTCAGGCCATTCGGTTTGCGAATTCAAATAAACACAGCCAAACCAAACCATGGCAGCTATTTTGCAAGCAAATGCAGTCTCGACCAAGATGACCTGTCAGCCCCCTTCCAATATGTCAGGCCTCGAACTCACCAAGCTCTTTCGGATGTCCGCTTCCGTCTGGCTGGTGTTGAACGCACCCTTCGCCAGCTCAACCCATCAAAGGCAACCGGGCCGGATGGTATACCGGCACGAGTGTTGAAAACCTGCTCTGCTGAACTGGCACAACCACTTTCTATACTATTTACCCAATACTTCCAAACTGGGATACAGCCTAAAGCGGGATTCACAGAAGCTTTTTTGCGATGCGACACGCGATGTGACAGCCGCGAAACCGGGAAATCCCCAAATCGCAGCCATCTCGCACCCCACTCAACTGCCGCAACTGGGCCATCGCAGAAGTTGAGCTTGGCTCAACTTTTGCGATGCGACAAGCAATTCGACGTACGTTTTGACCTTTTCTACAGCGAAGTAGTACTACGGTTCAATAGGTGCTTGTAAATTTGTACAAGTTGTACCAAACCGCGCGAATACCATGGCGAAATACGCACCTGCATTGAACTTTGCGCCAAATCAGCACGGCATTGTCGCATCGCTGACTTCTTCTGTGAATGGTATTTCGCGAGTTCGCATCGCACGCTTCCGTCGCAAATCGCGTCGCATAGCGTGTCGCATCGCAAAAGAGCTTCTGTGAATCCCGCTTAAGACATGCAAGATTACTAACATAGTCCCTATAATATATTCAAACGGAAATCAAAGTCTCTAGCAGACTCTTTACCCTCTAATTACCGTCCAGTTTCGCTCTTGTGTATTCTGTCCAACGTTATGGAGACAATAATCAACAGAACAAACACAAATTTCATCGAGTCGAACAACGTCTTCTCCACCAGACAGTTTGAATTTCGCCATGGTCATAGTGCAGCCGACCTCCTTACCAGCCTCCACCACCAGTGGCTGCATACAGCCGGGGAGAAACGCGCAGCACGCATACTCGCCATTAACATAGCTGGTGCATTTGATCGCGTATCACAACCAGGTGTACTACACAAGTCCAACATAAACTGCCTACGTGGGCAACTGCACCAGTGGCTCAGCAGCTACCTCAGTGAACGCTATCTTCAAGTGGTCATTTGTGGCCAGACATCCTCAAGGCTCCCAATTCAGGCTGGAGTCCCCCAGGGCAGTATTCTGGGTCTGACTCTCTTCCTCATATACGTGAACGACTGCGAGGACCATGTACCAGCCGGTGCTGACCTAGCCTCGTTCGCAGACGACACTACGCTGTATGCTAACATCACCCCACCACCCAACAAGATACCACCCAAGCCCTCCAGCTAGCAGTCAACAACATCTCCCTCTGAGGCCAAGAATGGAAGATCAAATTTGAACCAGCCAAATCCCAGGCATTGGCTGTCAGCTTCCACCTCACCCAGTGGACATGCCACCGATTGATTTCAACGGATCTAACATAAGAGAACAAGAGGAGCTCAAAATCTTGGGCATCAGTTTCGATGGTGAGCTTACCTTGCAGTGCCACCTTCGTACCGTAGCCCTCCGGGCAACGCAGCGACTTGGCGCTTTGTGTAAGGCGTTCTACCTCTTCGACGTGCCCGGTTGCATCCAAGCCTACAATGCCTTTGTGTGCCCAGTGATGGAGTACTGCCCCATTGTCTGGATGGGAGCAGCCGCATCCCATCTTGCAAGACTCGACCGTGTGCAAGCCAGGGCCATCCGAACCATCGCCACAATATGTTGGCTGCCGAGTCGTGCTCTTCGTCGGATGGTTGCAGCACATTGCCTCCTATACAAGATGCATTGTCCATATGCACATGCCCTTCTACAGAGGATGTTGCTACCCCGGCAGCTCCAACACCAAACAGTCCACTCCACCCGTAGTACGTTCCAGAGGTGTAATGCCCGCGCACACCAACTGGCAAATGAACTTCCAGTCCGTTCCCGAAACAACCTGTGCCGAGCCTACCCTCACGCAGTTGTACCTATCTGGAACCAGCTGCCCGCCAGAGTCTTCTCTGGTCCAATCTGCGCCAAGAACTTGCAACATTTCAAAGTTGCAGACCAACGACTGGATGTGGCCACATGTACATCTCTGAATATCAGCATCATATCTGCCCCACACCATGACTTTCAAATTCCACTCCACAAACTATTCCAAATAACGTCTGTTCTTCTTTTCTCTCCTTCTCCTCCTAGCACTGTCTGTCTTATCTTTTCCCTCCTTCTAATGTACTGTCTCTCCTACTAACATTTCGTATCATGTACCTGTCACTCCTTAATTTTTTCTTCTTCTTTCTTTTTGGTGCATTTTACGTCCGCATGACGTCGAGACCTCAGGTCGACTGAGGGCAGAATAGGCTCACCATCACTATGCTCCCACTATGCAATTTTTTGTCTTTGCCTGCGAGCTGTGACCATTGTAAAAAAATGTCAATCTGCCATGTACGCAGATTGACTGGAGCATATACATGACGCACTGCACTTGACCCAGGTTGATTTCAATCGAGAAATCGTACTTCCGCACCTCTGTGCATATTTCACGCCAGGCTAATATTGCACTGCACAGGCAAAGCTTGCGCGAAAGCATTCACACGACTACACGGTACTCTAGAAGTGGACTTTTGGCGGCATATCAATAATTGACCTGGGTCAACTCTCCATAATAAACACCCACCTATTTGTCCCACCGTACAGACTTTCAACCGGTTTGAACTCGACCCACGTTTGAAATTCTCATGTAAACACAGCATTTTCACAAAACCTCCAATCCGCAACACACGAACAGTCCTTGGATACACCACGTGCAGTAGTTGTTCCCAATTTAACCCAGGAGGGCATCATCAATGATATAGGAGAAGATACAAAGATGGCTGATATAAGACAGTCCAGGGACAGAATTCACGTAATCCGCAACAAGTTACAAACCAGCACTACAACACAAGACATAACACAATGCGTGTGTGGAGGGCGGGGGGTATGTGTGTGCGGGGACGGGAGGGGGGGGGGGGTGTTCGAGTCAAGTGTGGAGTGTGTTGATATTCTAAAGTCAGGCGTCGCTATCCATTCGAGGTGTCAAATCCGAGTCACCGGCCTCGTAGTGATAACAGAAAGGTGTTGGATGCCTAGTTTGTAGATAAGTCATGTGCCGGAAATAATGCTATTCACCTGAGCTGTGCCTGGCATCAAGAGTATGTACGGTAACCCCCAACAGTGTGCAACTCCAGCTATGGGGTCTGCGACGGCAGAACTTTACATCACGTAATGAACCCGTACACATTATTTACACTCTGTCCATGATGGATACAGGGTTGTACGCAATCCAGCTTTGGGTTCAACTCTCTTGTGGTCACTTTGCACTGTTTGCCAGCGTAACCTTTTGTGTCATGTCACGTGATGTGAAGTCTGCCATCGCAGCACAGTATATGTACAGGTTGTGCAGGCAGTTGCACCCTCTTGAGCCTTGGGGTTATGTACTCTTGCTGGCATGCACAAGTACATGTAGAAAGTGAACTGTTCTTTGGAAGGTCGAACGACAGCATCGTAGTACATTGTACGAAGACCACAAGTGGTAGAATCTTAAAGAGCATGCTTCGCCAAACCTAAAACGCCTGGTGGTCTTCTCTGGAGCACTGTGGACTCTTTCTAACACTCAGCCCATTGTTCATGTCCGTTAAAGTGCACTCCACGTGACTAGACACCCTCCACCCCCACCCCACCCCCCCCCCCCCCTTTAACTAGCGCCCGGAGGTTTTGTAAGGTTATCGAATTTACTCTGAAAGTAAAGAAGAGGTTGGTGCGATTTCGTCGATACTTGGGGAGCTGTGTGTTGCTCCCTACATGGGAGCTCGCGGCAGGAAGTCGGCAGGCAAACTGCAAGCTCCCATGTGGGGAGGAACACACAATTACTCCGAAAGTAGACCCATTTACGCCATTGCTCTGAAATGGCATCGCATACGTAACCAAATCGGCCAAAACAAACCTTCAAAAAGAAGGCTATAAACGAATTTTACGTACCTCCAGCAGAAGCGGCCGCATTGTGCCCGACTTCGATGCAATCCACGTTCAGGATTTAACCAAATGCACCCAATAACTAATGGAAGAACGCTTGCGCGTTTCGTCTGCGAACTAAACTTCTTGTTCAACTGTGCTCGACTTTTCGATGCAACTAATATCTTTGTCCGAGGCAACCTGTACAAAAGGCTGTTACAGTGGTTGTCGCTTTGCTCCTTGGCATCATGCATGAAGGATACATTCCATGCACGATACATGCTTTGTTGCTGTGCCGCGGCCGGCCCGATTCCCCGAACCGACTCCCACAGGCGCACCTTGAGACCTTGAATCAAAATTAATGGCTTGATGTGCCATAAGAAGGCGTAGAGTATCAAGATTCTAATAGTAATACCAAGAGTCCATAACCTCTTTTGTTTATGGGGTCTTGGTATTACCATAGTAAACCTCATGACGTAATCGCATGTATACACGTACATATGTATGTAATCTCGTAATGGATAACTCATACTGGCGCAAAAGGTTGTCTGGGTTCTCGAGGGGCAAGTGGACTATGTATGCAGCTAGCTTGCAAGCTGGCCTTCGAAGCATCTCCACTTCCAGACCTTTTGAGTTTGAAAATTTATTTCGCTTTTTGCCTGACGAGCAATAGGCTTGCTTTTTGGCTAGAGTTGCTTTGATTTGGCCTGTACCGTCATGCCGAAGAGCTGCTGCGCTCCTGTACGTACCAGCCGATTAGAGATAGAACTGAGGCTCCCGTTCCATACGTGCCTTTCCGAACCGGAACGCAGAAAATTGATTCAGAAAGTCAGGACATGTAGGCTGCATCATGCAAGTCGTGGTCCTGTTGTATGACTACCTCGAAGGACGCACCCAACAAGTGCAAATCGCTGGATCCATTGGTGTCAGTGGTACATGCTCATGTGGCGTCCCGCAGGGTTCCATTCTCGGACCTGTGCTTTTCAACATCTACACCAGGCATGTGCCCACCATTGCCAGTCCGTCCCTCTCCGTGCAGTTTGCTGACAATATAATTATTGCTCTCACGTTCAGCCACCCTGATTTCCATGAAGTACCGCGAGTTCTCACAACGTCTACAACCGAGATTGCTAACCACCTCCAGGAACGGAATCTAATCCTGAACACTAGCAAAAGCCATGTCCTGCGAATTTCTGGCCAAGACATTACTGTCAAATGCCGTGGAAACCCGCTACCAGCAGTTCCCCATGCGAAGTACATGGGCATCACGATAGACGAGCACGTTCGATTTGACGAACACGTTAACAATGCTGTGAAGAAGGCCTCGCAGAAGGTGGGAGCACTCTGGAGAGCTCGCCGTTGCCTTACAAGAAAGTCCAGAGAGCAGTACGTGAAATCCGTTGTGATGCCAGATTTGCTCTACGGGTCCGTGGCGTTCTCTGGGTGCCTTCGACAAGACCACCGGTCCCGCCTCCAGGTCCAGCAAAACCGTGCGGCACGCTCCGTATTCGGCCTGCCTCCTCGCACAAGCACCCAACCTCTGCTTGCTCGTCTGCAGCTGTATGGCATCGAAGAGCTCCACAAGCAAAAGACCCTTATTATGATCTGGCGTTGCTCGAATGGTCGGGCAAGCAATGCACTGCAAGCCCTTCTGGAGCGTCCCAGTACTCGAACAACGCGCGCGCAACGCAGCTTGGGCCTTCGAGTGCCCAAATCTGCCTCCAAAGCCGGCCACGACCGTCCAACCGCTCGCGGGTCCATTTTATGGAACACCCTGCCATCCGACGTGCGTGGTATTACCCAGTACCACCAGTTCAAACAAGCCTGGCTCCCATTCTGTCTTGCTAGCAGTACCACCCACTACTGAACACTGCAGGAACCTTTGAACGTTTGCGGTACTCCACAGTACCAGTCATGTGCTGTTTACCGCCTCCCCGGTGTTGTATTCTAACGTTAACGTTATTCATTGACTGAGCGTTCCTTGCTTTGTACTACACCCTGCTATCATGTAAGGCTATTTCCTACAATATTTTACTGTTCCATTCGCTTCCATGTAATTGGCGCCCGTTTGGTTCTGCGAATTCAAATACAAATGTACCTACCTACTGTAAAAGCAGAAATTTTCGGTGGTGTTTTATTTTCGGTAACTTCGGTGCCGACAATTTTTACCGAAAATAAAACGCACCGAAATTTTCGGTACAACCTATCCTGTATACATGTAGTACTAGTACACCTACCTGGAGAACGGGTTTTACCGAAAATTTCCCGCTACCGAACCGCCGATTTTGGCGGATACCGAAAATATTACACCACCGAAAATTTCTGCTTTTACAGTACCTACTTGCCTGAAGTAGAAGCGGAGGGTGGTCGAGTTAGCCATTATGCTCGCACTTCGTTCTAGGCATGGCCTTAACACCATATCCTTTCTCGCTGCTGATCGCTGGAATGATTTACCAGGCTGCTGCCTGCCGCACCGCTGCCTCTCGCTCAGAGTTTGTTCAATTGTGTCTATCATTCATAGGATTCGCTGGAATGTTCATCGTAGTCCTCCCCCCCCCCCCCCCCCTTCCCAATCTGTACTCTCTTGTACCATCATCCTTCAATGCGACAGACCCCACGATAGGCGGTCAGCCTTTGGGTCATCCTAATAAAGTTATTATTGTTATTATGGGACGGCACCGTCTGTAGGGGGTTCCCCTATTAAAATAATAAATACATCTAATACTACTACAAGCCAAGCACAACGAGAGTTTGTCGAAGTCTGAGAGAGAACTCGATTTCGTTTTAGCGCTGCACTAGCTCCAGAACGAGCCTCTCACTGAAGAGGCCAGAAACGTGCCTAATTAGGGCCCGGTCACACATGCACTGGGATTCGCTTCGGCGACGAGGTTCGGCGGCAGCGAGCCTGGTGTCGCGCATGTCGCTCCAGCGAAACCACGTGTGTGTGGTCACACATACAAACAGGGCACAACTCCTACTAGGGAGGTTCTGCTATACGTGAAACGTAGAGAAATCACGTAGAGAGCAGGTGTCTGGGTTAGAGTCTACGGCTTCGCGTGTTTTGGCTCCAGATTTCTACGCGGAGATGGGGTTCTCTACGTTGTGGAACACGCAGAGAAAATGCGTACGGATTTGCTGGGTATCGATCAGCTGCATGCAGAAAACTGCCAAATATGGAAGGGGAAATTCCCAGTACACGTTCCACGTGACTTCTCTAGGTGAAACGTAGAGCAGAACAGCATTTCTTTACGTTACGGGAACGCGAAGAAAGTTCGCGTGATTCTTTGCGTCGCGTTCCCAAAACGTAGAGCAGAACATCCCTACGAGGTGATTATGCATTTCTAAGCATTTTTCGTTTGTAAGCAAATGCGTAAAATCAGCAAACCGTCTCGTACATATCCAATGCATGCGGTACAATATTCCAAATATAGCACAGTGAGAGACTTCCCTCGGTCTTCATCTTCCTTTCCCAGCATGTGTTTTGTTCAAGAAGACTAGGTTTGTCTTTATTTTAGAGCAGTTTGTTGCTCTTCGCGATCGCTTCAGTAGCAGAAATAATGTAAAATCGCCCTTTTATGGATCCCGTTTGTGAGGAGCCTGCCGAACCAGGCCCAGAAAGTTCATGTAATAGCAGTAGTAGCGACAGCACTGGATCTGCTAATGGAGAAGAAAGCCATAAAACGACTTCTGATACAGATATGGCATCAAATATTGAGCCGGATGAACCCAGCACAGATTCAGCTAGCAAGCGAGCAACGCTCGCTGTCAGAGCATTCTATTCTCCTGTAACGAGCAGTGCATTTCGTTCGAAGGCCACTGCGGCAAATGCATTTGACGTGAGTCGGCAGATGTTCCGACATATAGAGAAGGAACTGGAGGTGTCTGGCGTGTTGTCAAACATCAAGAGTGGGCACCTTCCTCCTCCACCTCTGCCAGATGTTCACGACAATGGTTCAGTGACCACACCATCTGCACCTGGTGGCATAGAGTTTGACATGGCAACAGTGGAGGCTGCCATCAACGCCAAATGCACACGTCCTGGTGACAATGTCAAGTATGGGGCCGACACCAAGAGGAAACCCACCATCATCCAGTGGATCCAGTTGAGCTGATGACCATGTGTGGCGCAGGTTTGGACACGTTCTCCTGGCGGCCCTTCGGACAATTTCTTCTTCTTTCTTATTTATTCCGGTTCATTGTTCTGTTCATAGTCCACACGCTACTATGATCTTCAAGTAATCATGCTTCTATGGTGTTGCCAGACCCAGGCCATGCTCTATTTCAATTGTAATGCACATGTTGTGGTTCTTTAAAACTTTTTGGTTTCAGTGGATGCTGGGAAGCCACTTCTTTCGGGCTCTAATTGCTTGCGGAAGACTTTGGTTTTTTGGCATTAGTACTTGTCACTGTTCTAGCATGTACATGTATGTGTGTAGAATGGAAGAATGCGATGAAATAACACTAAACATAGTCATTTTACACAATGCTTAGAATCTAAAACGTTCATATTCATAGCATCATATCAACCCAAATGTAATCCATTCCTTGGGGCGTTATGATAGTCATATTCAGTTGAAACTTGGTGAAGATAGAAAGAAAGGGATCATCTTCTGAGTGAGGCCAAAAAATGTATACACATGCGCACTGACACCCCGATATTGTACGATTTTACAATCATGCTTAAAAATGCATAATCACCTCGTACTTTGGCGGAACAAGAGACTGTGGTGCATACGGTAGACCCGGGTGCTCGAATGAGACACAGGGTACCAAAACAGAAACACCCTGAAATTGTACCTAAACTTGTTCCGATTTCGTTTAGTTTTCACACATACCATCAACATACGGCCCGCTAACGGTATGCCAAATTTCAGCGCTGCCCGGTAAACGCTTTTTGAAATACTCGCGACCCACTTTTTGCTGGGTCCTTGATTCGAGGATATGGGTCTCCTGTACGGTGCTGCCAAAGACCTGCTGAATCTGCGGCTCCACTGACCATCTTGCTCTCAAAAATGAAGTAGTAAGTTACTACTCCCTGCCCTCAACTGCCACACCAAGCGTAGACGATGGTAGACCCGTGTGCTTGAATCGGAGACGATCTGACGAGTTTGCTGTTTCTGATTCGAGCACCCAATTTTCAAATAAAAAATCCGAAGGAAATACGACCATTTTAATGCGTACTGT